TGTTTTTGTTGCATATTTCAGAAACAGGTTAACATTTTAGCCTCCCGTTCGGCAGTTCAATTCTAATTTGCCATAATTAACTCTGGACACTAATTTCATTAAAATCGGATGGAAATTCACCTATATCTGAAAAAATTAAGCTTTTCAAAACTGTAGTGACTGCTTACTTAGATGATTTTTTCCTACAGTAACGATAGCCTCATCTAAGAAAAACCATGTTCGTGGTGAAAGAGATAAATTTAGCTGGAAAAGACATATACAGCAGTCGTGTCATCATGTTAGGATTAAGAGTAAATTAGGGAAGGAAAATCATGTCCTCGATTTTTTGGGAGATTTTAGACCTCGTTTTTCATCAAACAAAAAAAAGCAACCATGGACAAAAGCAACAAATGGAGAGGAAAGTGGGTGCATGACTGATGACGAGAAGAGGATCAAAGTATCATCACGTTACTCGATTTCTTTGTGGAAGAGGTTAGATAATAATGTGTCTTTCCCTGACAAGGACTTATTTTGATCAATCCGCCGTGACCAGATCAGTCAAACTTTGTTAGTCAACAACAGCTACATACAATGCTCTCTATACTACTGGCTGGCTTTTTCGTCCTTAATTGGGAATGACCATGCAAGATCAGCTACATACAAATCGGACCATCTGTACACATTAGGATCATTTTTTGTTGTAAAGACCCGATCTGCGGCTTTTTTGGAATAAAATGACTCAGAAAGATTAGCTCTTGTACCAAAAATCGTTGGAGATTTGATGGATAGCATCATTTTCTATATAAAAAAGAATTAAATGGGCAATGTCATCAATCGCGTTGCTATTGACATGTGTATTAATTCGGGGAATAAATCCTGGTCAGTTTAAATCAAACGTGTGGCAAATCCTGTAGTTTTTTAAACTTATTGATCGGTATCAATTAAATTAATATGCTATGCTATGCGAGTATTTTCCATTGTTTTTCATAAAAAATAAATATTTTGTACCCGCATAAATGGGACTAATAATGCTGGACATTAATTAACCTTATGCCTGAAATCTAACTCTTTGAAATTACAAATTTTATATCTCATCAAGCAAATAATCGTAACAGAGTATCCCTAAATTTCAATGGTCAAGCTTAGTTCCTGCAATAAATACTTGCAGGAATCGTGCTTATAGAGTATATGTATGTATTTAATTGCAATAGCACATACAAGGCTTATTGCTTTAATTATGCATTAATAATTTGTAATCATATGAGGCTAATAAATTTCCACTTCAAGCAGTAAAGTCACTCTTGCATCGGTGCTACTTACATTTCATACCAGAGACTAGTAACTCGAATATGTAATTAGCGGAATAGATGAACTGACATACGCACAACTCGATTTCCGAAACTAATTAAGAAATTATCCATCCATCCGTGATTTTCACTTGTTCTGTTACACAAACCTTGAACGTATTTCGGTCTGAAATTACATCTTCCTACGTTATTACGACTACCTTCGACAAGGTCATGAGTAGGGTCATGTTGTACTTTCTAAAACAAAGTTCAATTAAACAGGCATTCTCCCATTGCCCCAAGTCCTCATTAAAATACGTTCAGACCCTGTCAAAATTGTCCAGCACATCTGACCAATAAATAATAATAATCAATGATTCATCCTCACACAAAATCTATAAATGGAAGGGTGGACACAGCTCATAAATTGTGTATAGGTCACAAACTGTAATCGGATCCGCTCTCCCCCAAACTTGCATTCCCACTGGTGAAGTATTTATGGAATTATTTTATTATGATCATCACCCACACACCCCTGGAGAGCATCTCATCCTCACCACCACCACCACTGCTTCTGGTCAACTAATCCCATCCACTCTAATGCCTCTCCTCAATAATAATCAGAGCAATAATTTCTGACACGTTACAGTCGAACGCAGTTTTCCATGACGTGACACACACGAACACAATGGAAGACTGGACAATGTCCTGCGAAATTTGTAAATGCAGTTGATTTACACCCGATTTTTATGGTTTAGTTTTTTTTTCGTTGTGGATGTAATTCAATAAAATTTAGATCAAATGTAAAAGTCACAGTGTCGCGTGTCCGACCGGACAAAAGAATTTACTACTTTAAATCAATCCGGAAGTGAATATTGCTCTATCCGATTGAGTTGGTTGATTGCTTATTGTGAAGGATTCGAAATTTAGGCGGTTTTAAAGGAATTGTAAAATTGTCCGTGATGTTTTTTAGAGTGGAAGAGTTATGGGTGTAGTAATATTGAAAAATTCATAAATCATGCACATATTGACTATTGACACTTTCGAGTATGTATGAATGTAGTTGCAACATAGGCATAAATACATAAAACAGTATAAAAAAAACTGCAGCTGGAAAATCAAATAACAGCAATAAAAGTCAATAATGGGAATACAATTCAATAAAAATGGCAGTATTGCATTATAAATTTTCAACAATGAAATTATGAAAAAATTCCAATTGTCTCCCGAATTTTAGGATGCAATTAACAACTTCATTCATATTTTGGACAAATTTCATTTATTTACAAGCATATTAAAAGTCGCCATAAATATGTTAAGTAAAACTTCTGCCTAAATAGTACAAAAATCAAGGCAAATTTTTAAATTATACATATGAAAAAACACTCGAAAATATTCCACGTGATCATCAAACATTACCGAATTTTATCCAATTCCTCTTCTCGATATCAAATGCGGCTTGAACCTCCACTCCATCAACCAGGGTCCATTGTTGACTTGAATATTATCGAGAAAAAAATCCCTTTGAGATAGAAACTCTCTCTCTCTCCATTCACAAAAAGGGATTAACTTTGTCCCAAAGAATTAGAATAAGAGCAACCAAAATCACAAGTAGTGGTTGTATTTCACTTATCAATCTGGCTCTGTCAGTCCCTCATTATAATAATCAAAGGAATATATTATACCCGAATGGGGCATAATAGGGCACACAAAAATCCATCCCATCCTCCGTCGTCCACTCGATGTCAATGTCAATAGCCGAATTTTCTGGTTTGATCCCTCCCTTACGCATACCGGTCTGGATGTCATGGTCAATCATCCCTCCTCTTCATAAATTTCCTCTCTTTTCCATTTCCTACTCTCATAAAGGATTATATTCAATCCAAATCTCCAATCTGTCCGGTATCTATCTTCGTTTATTTATTTCGATACAATTTTCCAGAATATCTTTCCTTTGAACATTTCTAGAGATCGGTCAACCTTGTGATGATGCCAATAAGAGAAATACGATCATTTTCAAGCCCACACACACACATGGACACGATGGACATAATCAAGTCCGAGATTCGGTTTCGCTTTGTAACAAAATGATATAAAAAAGGGTTCATTTCAAAGTAATTTAGCCGGAGGCACAATGCTGCACAAAGAGAAAGTTGTCATCTTTATGTATCCTGGTGAAGAACCGTTCTTCACTTCTTGTCGACAAAAAATACAAATGTTGCATCACTTGGATTCACTACTTCACTTTCATGTCAAGAGTGCAGGTCATTTTGTTTGCTTATTGTAATGGGGATTTGGAGGAGGGTCTGGTTTGGAAACTGGTCAAACAAAAGGAGGCATCGACGCGTTGGGTTTGTTGGATTTATTTGTAAAGGATTTGAATTTTTTGTTGCTCAAAAAGTGACCAAGAGTGGGTGAAGTGGATTTACGGTAAGTCGGGTCTTATGTAGGAGTACAGACTCTATTTTTTACCTGGTTATACGTAGTCTCCAATATTTTTTACTAGTGATATACTGCTCCTGACTGAAGAGCTGCTTATAGATATTTTAATACACGTTTTGAGGCATGATGGTACGGAAAGCTTTTATGTAAATGAAAGATTTGACGATGGTTCACTTACTTTCGGTTTTGATTCTGTGGCGGACAGGAAACAAAGTAAATAGAAAAACCAACGATGAGAAAATAAAACCTGGAAAAAGAGTTGTAAAGCCGCCAGCATTATTTATTTTAATATGAGAAACAATATATGCTTGTTTTTAACTTTTCTTCAGTTTGAAAAAATAATTTGCATGAGTGCATATCGTTTTCTTAGTATATGTACGTAAAAACATCACATCGCCCTTTGTGCATTCAATTCCTTCCTCAATTTGTGATCCTGTTGACTTAAAGTTGGACCATAATTCTTCCCTCCTTTGTTACGACGACCAGCAGCATCACGAGATACGCAGGTTTATACGTGACAATGAAATGTTTATGTGTGCATAAATTTTATAGGGACAGAAATCCGATAAGCATTAAAGCTAGCTCACACAATGGACGGCACAACAGCGAACGGGCATTCCTCTTGATTCCACTCATTAAAATAAAATGGACTTTATAGTCTCAGATAAAGAGAGGCAGAGAGTCAAATGAGACCACGGTTAAGGTCAGTCAGGGTGGATCACTGTGGGAAATGTTAGAGAGAGGGAAGATAGAGAACCAGGATAGTTATTTCCGGATGTCAAGTGCATCTGAGGAGATCGTCGTGGCGAAGTCGTCATTTCGGTTTATGGCTCTCCAGATTGGGACGGCATTCTCTTTATTGTGTGTGACGAGGACGAATTGCATAAATAAGTGGACTGGAGAGATGTGATTCGGTGTGCCGGATAAAGATACTCATCGTCAGCTATACATGCATACTAGTATTCTTATATATTAATGGACAGTGGTGGTAAAAAAGGTGGATTCTGCCAGGTTTACAGGCATCCATAAGTAAATATGTATAGTGTGCACGTGTGCATTTATAGTAAAATTAGCTTAGAGAGTTTGAACCGAAATTCCAGGTAAGGGGCAAAAATGAAGCAAAGCAATGCACACAAATTCATGACGTATTAAAGTAACTATCATTATGCAACTCAATTCTATTAAATCAAGAAACTCAGTTTTATTGTAAAAAAAATTGTCAGTAATTAGTTCATACAAATGCAAAATTTAAAAATATAATCGTTATTTTTCAATCCGAGGATACAAATTTCGTTGAAATATTTATTTCTGACTCAATCGATCGTAATTACTTCAGGGTTGGAGGATGGTTGGACCATTCTGACGACATAGTCAGTAGGAAGACGATGAAAGTAAGTGTCCAACTCGCCCAGGACTACGTTCATGAGATCAGGCTTTTCTTCATTGGTTGATAGGCGGAAGACTGGATGATTGTTTTCGGGATTAGCACGTTCTCTTAAAGGCGGGAAAAGATGATCGTCATCGTCGATAAGTTTGACGTAGGTATATTCTGCTATTGGAGGAGCCTGGAGTTGGTCGTTGTTTTGGACTTTGCTAGAGAAATTACTTCGAGATTGTTGCGGTGGCGGGGTCCTTCCAATAGACGAAAAAACGGCATCGATATCAATATTTCTAAGCTCCGGGAGAAGTGATTCTGGGGAAGATGAGGATGTCACCGTTGTCTGAGAGACTGGCGAGCGCGACATTGTCGAGCTATCCTGGTCACCACATGACGCTACCGATGGGGAAACTGGCGTTATTTCCATTGACGAAGATACTTCGTCTGTAGACGGTGTCAATGCTACTTTCGATGCTGGCGAAGATCCGGATGCTTCTGTGGAGGATGGTGAGTCTGCTTTGGGCGCTGGTGAAGATGCAAACATTTCTGTCGAGGATTCCAATGCTGCTTTTGACTCTGGCGAAGATGTGGCTGCTTCCGTCGACGATGCTGATACTGCTTTTGACTCTGGCGAAGATGCGGATGTTGCCGGCGACGCCGAACTGGTCCCTTCCTTATCTCGATATTGAGCATTCTAGAAAACCAGAAAATTAATAAATATGTAAGCTTAAAGACCAAATAAAGTAATCGCACAAGGTTAACAGAATCTGGACTTCAATCTAAGAAATTTAGTATAATTAAACTTCTTACAACGAAAACATCGTTGTGTTGTCTAATCCAACACCTCGCATTTTCCACAAGAATAATCCCTGGTTCCTCAAGATACGTGACTAATGATTCAAACCATCGCGTCGACCCATACAATCCGAATTTAGCTGGGTTGTGTTTGGCTGTCGCGATAAATTTCAACGTCTTCAGTCGACGTTTGTTCGTAAAAACGCGACGCTGGAATGTGAACTTGTGTCCAGCCGAGATACTGAAAACATGCCAAAATTTGGTTTTAAGTTCATTTTAGGAATAAAATTTCCAAAACCAATAACTTATACATAATGCAACTTATTTATTCTTTACCTTTTTTGAATTGACGACAATGGTTCTTGAACGTCTTTTTTCGAGGAAGATGATCTTCGTGTATTAACCATGATTTGATATTTTTTGCTCGTTTGTGTGGAATAAAACTGATAAATAGATGGCAGAACAACGAGAGATGTTCGAAGTCCGAGAGATCGAGAAGGTCTGAAGAGCTCGGTGGTCAGAGAAGAAGTCGAGCATTCTGTCAACCTGTGTTGGTTGCTTGATTTCAGGGAAGCTGACGCGGCAAGCAACTACGACTCAAGGGACGCCGCTCACGGAATGCAAGCCTGCAGACTGACAGGTGGAAGATATTTTTAACTTTTAAGCCTGGAAGTTGGCAAAAATGACTCTGCTGAAAAATTAATTTTTCGACCTCGAAATAAATCACATATTTGGCACTAGAAATCATCCCAGTAATTTTTTTATTCGATTGTAGCTGTTAATCCCTAAAATCCTGAACGGATGGTTTGGAAAACCATAAATTAGTTATTAATTTCAATATCGCCATGTTTGTTGTTTTCGTCGTGGGATATAAATTCCTGAAATGGAGTTATTTTCATTTTCACGACATTGCATTGTACAACTATAAGTCAATAAATTCATCAATTTACTAATTTTTTAGGATGGTTGCTCGCGATTTACAGCAATTTAAGTTGTCATCAATTTGTTTAGCGAATTATCGTGAACGAAACGGTAAGAGCTATGTACATATGCATGTATATACTTATATTGAGACAAAAGCTTCAAAGCTTATGGAATATAATACTAAATTTAATACTACTATTAAAATAAACAAAATTACTAATGCAAATAAATAAGTACGTATGTACGTCATTCGCATAATTCATTACTGATGAAACAAAATAATTAATCCATTCAGTCAAATTGCATACAAATTACATAAAGCTGTATAGAAAGGCTTATTGAAGCGGTGTGGTTGCATGGGGTCAATTTGACATGGAATCGCACATACTTATGTATGTACAGGTGCGATAATAAATTGGCAAGGCAACATACATCCTTAATATCCACAATGACCACAAGTATTTCATTTATTATATGACTCAACGACACAAACTACTGCGTACATACATTCATACATATACAAACGAACAAGTAGTTCACTTGGCGTCATTAGTGAATTAAATATTTACCTAATTAAGTTTCTTGTGTATTCAGAGACCACCCATCGTCAACTAATTAACTAATTAATGAACTTCACATTTTCAAAGTTCATATCTAATCGTAAATTTGTAAATTGTTCAACATTCATCAACATTGTCTCTCCTCGAATCGGTGCGATGGATACAAAACCCATAAGCACAACATCCTCCGTGGAATCCACGCTTATCTCGATAATCTCACTTGGAACCAGGATATCCCAATCCATCGGATATTTCACCTTATCCGTCACCACCAATAGTTACGATGGGCAGAAAAAAATCACATTTTCTTGGCTTAGTTTCCCAATTTTTTGTTCCGTAATGCTTCTCTCAATTCAAACTTATCTCGTCATTCACTGGTCACATTTCGGTGACGAGCTCGTCTCCATGACTGGACTCACGAGCCCCACGGAAGTGCTGGCCTTCAACCTGTCCGGATTTTTAGTCGGAGCCCAAATCTTCTTCAAGCGCCTGATGTATCTCTTCAACTCGAAAGGCATGATGACTTTCTGGTCAGATTTTGTATCCGATTTAACCCAAATTTCCTGCAGTGATGAAAAAGGCAGCTTTCTCCTCAGTACCGAACCTTGGGCGAAACATCGCTCCATGTTCATAAAGGTGAAGACCACTTTGACCTGCGATATAATTTCAAGCCTGATTTTAATTACCGTGCAGACGGTTCAACTTTTGGTCACGTTTTACCTCTCTTATGTTGAGGATTCGAACACGAACGGTCCTTTCGTTGGGCTTCACGACAAAATAATTGGAATTGGAGGACTAGTTTTGTGGAACGTACTTGGTTCCCTCAATGTTTTTCAGTCCGTATGGGTGACCTATCCGATTCAGTTGTTTAACGCGTACTTGGAAATTATCCAGGCTGAACTTTCCGAATGTTACCGTTGTAATCAAGAACCCCTCGTGGCGGATGATTTATTCACGATTTTGAAGAAAAGTGGAGAGAAGGGCTCTCAAAAAATGATAAAACCCTACATTTTGGACGAAAACAAACTGCACCTTTGCATCCAGAATTATCACAGAACTGTCGAAATGTTGAGAAAGTATAGCAGCCGATCTGTTCAAAGAATATCGTCTGAAATCGGGTACAATTCCTTGCTGATCTTGGCCTATCTTTTTATTGGGTTCACTTGGGCAGAAAATGGGGAGATTGGAGCCGCACTCACCAGAGTCATTCCACTTATTCTCTGCATTAAAATAATTTTTCACTTGGGCACGGAGGCCGGTCAGTTGGAACTTAATCAGAAGGCCATATTTCGTGTGCTGTGTCGAATGCAACATCGTGCGATGAGCGAGGAGACAAAGTCAATGGTGTTTACGATGATACAGGAATTGTCTGGAGATCGGTTAAGGGTTGAACCGGGATCATTCTTTACACTAAATCGGCGTCTCCTCACATCGGTAAGATTAGTATTCCAATGTACATAATGATTCACAACTAACGGTAATTATATTTTGCAGATTTTATCATCAGTAATGACATTTCTGGTCGTGTTGGTGCAATTTCGAGATGGCGAGAGAAAGTAGACGCATTGATTGTTGAAGTGTAATTTAAATGATACATATTTATTGTTCTTCATTATACTTATTCAGGAAATTTGAATTAGTGCAATGGTTGTGATCTCACGTTAGTGCGACTTAAAATAAATATTTTGTGTCCTCTCTAATTACTAAATAAATACATGCAATGATCATGAGGATACCATGGTGAATGCTGTAATCCAAAATCATAGCATTTTCCCCAAATTATGCACAACAAGCAACAGACTCCTACATACATAATTCACTAAAGCTGACAATTTCATAGTTTTAGTTGCAAAAACTAACTCCCATTTTGTCATCCCAATTTGTTATTTCAACAACACTACTCATTCATCTGGAGATAACTATTGTCTAGGTTGTTCGGACAACATAAAAAACATAGTAAAATAACGATTTACTTGAAGCTAATATAAATCCTTATGTATGTACATACTTGTTAGTTGTCAAATCTCCCAGGTAACCAAATCCTATTCCTGCACTCACCCTTTCCTATTCTGTATGATCACAGATTTGTATTCGAAAGAATAAGAACAAAAAATCCAATTACAATAAACTGCCACCGGCACACAATGCATGAGAACAGACATACTCATCCCAATTCATAACGCATCACTGTATCCAATATTTCACGGATGAATAAATCTCATTTTTCATCTTCACAACTTTCCCTAATCAGGCCCAGTTAGTGAGTTAGTTGCTTCAGATATTTATCCAATCCACCATTATCTTTATCTTTCACCCACTCAGATTGACCTAACGGCATGACTCACTTCAATAAACTTGAACATGGAAACTGTTTTTTTTCAAAAATACTTTCACTTTTCTGAAATTTCTAAAAAAGTTTGCTGCTGCATGTGAACACGATTACATAAATACGCGACGAATATCTGGTACTCGTTCACTCTGAAAACGTGTCTTTTGCTCCTTTTCCATTTGAGTTGTTGAACAGAAGTTTGAGATTGCTTGACTTTCCCAAAACCTGACAAATCTAGATGTTTGTGAATTGTTATCTGAATGGATGAGGGTGACAGTTCAGAAGAGGTGAGAGAATTGACATTGATTGTCATTGTTGAGCAAACTGATTCACAAATATATGAATGATCGAGATAACCTTTTGATGCTATTGAATATCTGTGAATTCACACAGTAATACTTTCACGACAAATTTCTAGCTGAATTAAACCAGCCTTTATTGTGAAAGGGAAATATTTTGTGATGCATTGTGAGCAATACTTCGAAAACCGCTAACTTGTTTATCAAATATCAAATTCACAACCCACGATCAAGTGAAGATTTCCAGTGTGTTATATACATAACGTGGGAATGAGGTACCCATGCCACGTGACTGTGTTTATAATACATTTACAACATATCAATCACACATCACTCTATTATTTATTTACTTTGTAGTCCGATCCAACCATGCACACCGCCACGTTAAAAATATCATGATCAAGGTGCTGCTTAAATATTGATTTGTGGGGAAAGAAGGCGAGAAAAAATGTGTTAGAACAATACGTTGACGATTCAATCCGCAACACGTGACAATGCACAAGCAAACATGCTCATTACATATTCCTTTCGTCATTTTGTAATTGTTCTTTCTTTATTTGTCCTTGTGTGCGATAGTCATTCACAACTCCACACCCACGAATTAAAACTGATCGGGTTAAGGTTTGGTGTTTTAAGAGGGTATGTGTGCACATAGTCCAATTTTAGCAATGTCCCCTTTTTAATTCCTTTTAAACTGAGAGGCCTGATCACTTATGTCGAAATGTGTTACATATGTATTGACACTCGTAGGCTAGCATTTAGAAATCTGTGTACATTTCATTGTTTAGATGCAAATCAATTGGATATTATGATTACGGATCTCCGTTTCGTTCGATCTTTCCACTATTAAGAATTTGGCAATGTATACATATGCGACCATAACCGACACGACGCATCATTTACAATCAGACATTTTATAAAGGGGCTTCCAACTTATTGTAAAATGTAAACAGCTACCGTTCTTTGTCTTTCCCACATATGAGAAAACAATGTCTACTTGGCACACACAAACAAAAGAAGAACTTTCTCTCAAGGACCAACGAACGATCACGCCAGCCAAATCATTCAAAATGCATCATCAAAACCTTCCCAGCGTAACAACCACTCAACAATTTGCATGCATTCACTTATTGTCAGATCACCAATGTCATTATTATGTAAGTAGCGAAGGCTACTTTATATAAATGGCTTGTCTGTCTGTCTGTCTGTTGGTCTTCTAGCGTTCTAACTAATAAGCGAATTTTATTTTAGGTTAATTTTTTTACACTCGACATATACATACGCTTAGGGGGAGGCAAAGTTGCTTAACTGACCATGTAGGTCATAGCCCCAGGTCACGTGTCATGAGTATGTGAAATTACACTATACTCATGTGGAACATCAAATCGAAGAACTTTCAAATGATATCCAATGGAATTATTGACATATGATCGTTGAAACAAGGTAAAAGGACAAAAATACAATAAATTTTAATTCTTTTAGACGTTATTTTGTGATCAATAACTTGAACAATGCTTTCACCACTTCGTTAAATCCGTGTCTTGCAATGGTTTATTATTTCAGTGCATAGTGGGACACGCGACTTGTCCAATTTACCCAGGAACAAGGGTTCTCCAAAATATTCACTATTTTGAGTATCCTATTATGCATAATATTATTATGTACTCACATTGGGTTGCATCTCTACTTAAAGTGGGCTTATTATAAAAGCTTTCAACTCTTATTTGGTTCATTTTCTAGTTTTCGTTTTTTAGGGGGAGGCACGAACTCGCGAAAGTTGGGACATATGCAATGGAAAGTCTGAGGACATTTTACTCGTACATAATCGCTACCCACATACATGTAGTGACAAGATTTTTGGTGAAATTGGTATCAGAAATTGCTTTCACGAGCACATGGTCTGTTGTAGACTACACGGCTCCTGAAGATTACAATTTAGACCAAACCAATCTGCCTCTATTAACCTGACGGCAACATTTTGCTGATATCTTCAAGTACATACCAAATTTCTCTTCACAATTCCTCCTACAGTTTTGAATAGCGTAATGAGCTTATCATTTTGAGAAAGAGCTTTTCAGTAGTAAAATGTCTCCGTTTCAACCATAAATACAAATATTTGTTTTCACGATATTCTGTTCATTAGAAATTGAATTTGTTTCCTTTCACTACATAACTTGCTAACCAATATGTCAGACCTTACTGAACTCAAAACCTTTCATTTCACTATTTATGAAAGCATAGGATTCATACCATTAAGGATAAAGCATATAGCTAGCAAATTTGTTATCTTATGTACATAAAACTAACTTAAAATGCGCTCTCATAAAAAAAATTCAGCTAATTAAATCTGCTCATAAAATTGGAAGGGTTGGTGCGATATAATTAACTAAAATTTACCAATAAGCTCTTCTAACGCCATAAAGACAAGATTAATGTAGTAATCATATTATTACTGAGGGCTAAAAACCCAGCAATATTGCACTTGAACTCTTTTTTTTCGAGTGGTGTTACATAAAAAACTTCACCCTGGAGCTACAGACGTGAGTACACCATTCACTTTCTCGCACTTTGAGTCAACCCTTTTTTATTGTTATTATTACGCCGAGTATGAGTCTCATATTTAGTGTACGTAACATAACAGGGACGAAACTGCGCTCGGAAGTCTCATCCCATAAAATGTTCACAGTCCGTTTAATTCTAAATTTTTTAAAAGCTGTTCAACTTCAAGGCATATTAAATTGAACGAAAAATGGATTGAAATTCACAAGGTATTTATTTCACAGTATCGAAATCTCATGGGCTGCAAGTGAAAAGCACTTTCATGGTTCAAAATAGTATCGTTATTCAAATTTGGAAATAATGACATTTTACAATGACAGATTTGTATCGATAAAAAAAGCTTCTCGTCTTTTTGTCACTGCGGTTTCATCAATTGTTTGCCGTTGTAAAGAAGATTTTAAATTATGTATTGAACGCGTGTAATTTATTAGTGATTACTTAATTCAAATATTTGAGTGGCATGACCTAGGTAAACACGGTGACAAAATAGATTTATGTAGATATGCTAATCAAATAGTTGGTGGATAGGACTTTTCAAGATATACCTGGGTACACGAGCAAATAAATATTTATTTTGGGGGTTCGGTATACTTAGGCTTAGGATGAAATTATTTACTTATTCACGATAAAGTGCTGCTGATTGATTAGTATTTGCGGTTATTATATAAGCTTTGGTCCATCATACGTATGCACATAAATATGTGCGTATTTAGTAAGATGCACCTTAAAATCAACTACTTACCGTGTGAATATAAGTATACACATATACGTATAAAGGTGGATGAAAGCATTTATTTTACATAGACTTGTTGCTTTTCTAAAATATTTGCCACTATAAACTTCTGGGTTCGCATCTAGCATTTAACATTTGATTGGATTACATGTGATAAACTAAGAACCTTTAATTCAAAAGATAACTAATGTTCCACGAAATGTATCACCTCCATAAAAAATTCATATGACTTTATCTAAAAATATTCAACTCAAGCAATTCAACATAGGTTTTCATCATTTTTGCAAAAAAACTTTTCGTTGCTAATATTTTGCAAATTCATTCAAGCTTAACAAAGCATCATTTTGATCGTCATTTGCGATTTTTCAAATATTTTATGCTAAATGATAATAAAAGCAAAATCAATAGTGTGTGAAGATACTTCCGACTTTCTGTCAAGTTGATATTTCATGAGGAAATGTCCTTTGATGTAGAATTGCCTATTACGGAATTTTTATTGACAAATCGAGTTGCATCGCTTTTATAACTTTTAAGAAATATGAGACGGGTTTCCCATAGAAAAATGTTTGCTTGCTAAACACATCACTGACCATTGTCAATACGAGAACTTTTTCGAATGCACATAATTCCTACTTACTCCTAAGAGCCAAAACCTGTTCGATTAGCAAACAAAGGTGGAACCCTTTCTACCCAAACTTTCTCGTCAAAAGGTCTCATACATAAATCCACTCCCAAAACCCATTAACCAAGCTAATGTCCAAGCCCAGTGTGTGGCGTTATGTTCTCTCGCTAATAGCCGGGCGATTACGTTAA